ATGAATTAGTACTTAGTGTTTTAAGATGACAACACACTTTGTTATAATTATTTGTGTTGGTGTGTACAATGATTATTATGTTACAAGACAATACACGGTAAATTGTTAAAATGCTGGTTGAGGCATCAACTAACATACATTTTTCTTTGATTTTGTTATAATTCATTTGTTTTCATTTCTTGAAATACTACTGCATATGAACCGATGAATCACATTGTAATCTACACATAATGATGAGTTCCAGGTACTTCCCAGTACTGTCAGTAAATACACCTTCTGTAAACCCTTTTAACAAATTTGAAGTATTACCAGTGATGTCTTTTCTTACCACTTTTTTTGTTCTTGCTTCTTTTAATACCATGATTGTCCATCTATTTTCTCACAAAAAAATGCCTGGTGTACATAAAAACTTACTGAAATTATAAATAGTTAACATAAATAGATGTTCAATCGAAACTGTAAACCCAATATGGCCATCGTAAATTTGATTGACCAAGCCTTTCCCCTGTAATTTAATTATCACCCAATTAACCTGAAACATGTTCCTATCTGATGACCCACTTATATAAAAGTGTGCAGGACGCGGTCACATTATTTAATATTTACCACTCTAAATACCTCCACAGCCTCCTAGTGGCTGCTGGGACTGTTTTCTCTATAAAAGTACTGCAATCACACTGAATTGATTTTATTCAAAATTCATGGTATGTGTATAAATCCAATGATCCAATAGTCCATGTTGTTCATAAGGCTAAGCTTGTTTGTGCATGACAGCATTTGTTTGTGCATGACAGCATTTGTTTGTGCATGGCAGCATTTGTTTGTGCATGGCAGCATTTGTTTGTGCATGACAGCATTTGTTTGTGCATGGCAGCATTTGTTTGTGCATGAGAAACAAGAAATTACATTGAAACTTGCTCCCATCAGAATTCTTAATTATGAAAACCTGAAATGGGATTTTACCTGATATGTGGAATTATACATTCAAATTGTCCAGCATGCATTCTGACTGGCTATATACAATAACTGTGTTTACCTAGGGTTAGGGTTAACATATCAAATGACCACGTATTACACATAACCTTATCACCCGTCACAGACGGCTGCCATGGATCCTGTAACGTGTAATAGAAATTATGAGAGTCAAACAAGCTTGATATGTGTACACACAGAAATGTATCTACCTATATGACCTTACATACAGGGTGGTCGGGTGCTGCAGTGGATAGCGCACTTGCTTTTCACCAAGGCGACCGGGGTTCGATTCCCTGATTGGACGTGAAAAGGTATGGGGTCACCTGCCCGACCACGTGGGTTTTCTCCCGTGCGCTAACATCTGGGCCAACAAGAGTGATTAATATAAGTTGAAACAATTTGTTTCATAATTGTTGTAAAATAAATAAGTTTATATTATGACCTTACAAAGTGTACTAACCCACTTTTCGATACACTTTGTAATTATTTATTTTTATTGGCAAGTGTTAAACAACTTTCCTCAATTGAACACATTTCGTACGAGTTATTACTAAGTGTGTAATTATTTCAAATTTGGTTGTCAAAGTGAACCAATGGAAAAAAAGGGAAGAAATGAAGAAATCGTCATTTTGAAGGGAAAACAACTTTCACAATTTACTATTAGCTATGAATGTTCCAATTTTAAATGACTTAACATCCTTTATGAAAAAAATAAGTTCTTTTGATAACTTTCTAAAATAACTTATGAATTGCGTCTTACTTTATACTACTGATTTAAGTGATCTACTTCTATTTAAAAGATACAAAAAGTTATGATGCTTTTCTGAAATTGACAAAATTAAAGTATCATTTAAACACAATAATCATGATAAGTGTCACTAACTTACATTAAGCAGACTGCTTTTTGTTCAAATACAATTTCTCTGGAAGATTAATGTACATAATAAATTAAAATTTGGTCATCATGCTTCACAATTGGCCTTATTAACATTGACTCCCCCCAACTCTGTACCCATTAACAATTGACTAGAAACTTTAAGTCTGGCACTATTACATACAACTTTTCTGGCAGACTACTGGCAATTAATTACTCAATGAATTTTCAACAAAAATCTCTCCAGACCTTATTTACTAATTTTACCAAGTAAATTCTCCATTTATATTGATGATGACTGGCCAAAAGTAATTATATAAGATAATATGTGCAGATACATTGAACAATTGCCAAAAAGACTAGTTGCGAGTTCCTGGCAGACACTGTCAGCGTGAACATGTCCCACAACTTTAATTCTCCAACTGGACATTTTTCACACTGACATCAGCATGATTAAAAAAGTTTACCTAATTAACATAATTTGAAAAGACAATTTTCTTTTCTCTTTAATTCAATTAACAGCTTAAACTATGACACTTTGCACTTTTTTTGTCAAATTGAAGTAATTGTAAGAACTTTACAGACATTTTTAGATTTTGCTGTTTGTTTTCTCTATACATTTTTTTAATATCATTGAAGTGAAGACCTAAACTTTCGAATTTTGATCAAGAGGTAATGATGCCACTGGTTGTTTTTTTATCTGTGAAGAAACCTTTAAGGATGAACACTTGACTGATTCCGATGGACATAATGATGAAGAACTCCCCCAGTGACCAGTAGAACACTCGCTCATTAAGGTTCTCAGCATACACACGGCCCTGGGCCTCGCGGAGACGGAAATGGGTCTGTACCTCCACCACGTCATTCAGCGCATCATGAATATCTTCTGATGCAGACTCCATCTGATGGGGAAAGGAAGAAACACATATAAGATCACAAAGTTATATAGCATAATCATAATGATTGACATCCTCCCTGATAAAAAATATTGGTGAAATATACAATGTATTCTATATATCACTTCCTTACATTAATTACACCAAGCTGTGACATCATTATATACTGTTGTACCTGTTAGATACACCAAGCTGTGACATCATAATATACTGTTGTACCTGTTAGATACACCTGACTGTGTCATCATTATATTGATACACTGTTGTCCCTGTTAGATACCCCCGACTGTGTCATCATTATATACTGTTGTACCTGTTAGATACACCAAGCTGTGACATCATAATATACTGTTGTTCCTGTTAGATACACCTGACTGTGTAATCATTATATTGATACACTGTTGTTCCTGTTAGATACACCTGACTGTGTAATCATTATATTGATACACTGTTGTACCTGTTAGATACACCCGACTGTGTCATCATTATATACTGTTGTACCTGTTAGATACACCTGACTGTGTAATCATTATATTGATACACTGTTGTACCTGTTAGATACACCCAACTGTGTCATCATTATATTGATACACTGTTGTACATGTTAGATACACCCGACTGTGTCATCATTATATTGCTACACTGTTGTACCTGTTAGATACACCTGACTGTGTAATAATTATATTGATACACTGTTGTACCTGTTAAATACACCTGACTGTGTCATCATTATACACTGTTGTACCTGTTAGATACACTCGACTGTGTCATCATTATATTGATACACGGTTGTACCTGTTAGATACACCCGACTGTGTGATCATTATATTGATACACTGTTGTACCTGTGAGATACACCCGACTGTGTCATTATTATATTGATACACTGTTGTACCTGTGAGATACACCCGACTGTGTCATTATTATATTGATACACTGTTGTCCCTGTTAGATCCCCCCGACTGTGTCATCATTATATTGACACTGTTGTACCTGTTAGATACACCCTACTGTGTCATCATTATATTGATACACTGTGGTACCTGTTAGATACACCCGACTGTGTGATCATTATATTGACACTGTTGTACCTGTTAGATACACCCGACTGTGTCATCATTATATTGATACACTGTTGTACTTGTTCAAAATGCCCAGCTGTGACATCATTATAAAATGATTTACCTTTGTATATATGCTCACAGCTGTGACATCATCAGTAATGTGTTATATATTTGTGCTAAGTTTACCTATAGGTAAGTCACCAGCTGTTGGTCGGAGAGCCTTTAAGCTACAAAATATTATTGACTGTAACAAAACAGGACTACTACTTATAATTAGTAGAATCAGAGTAAGCTACATTCAAACTTTTTCTTTGTAATGCATTTATTTTAAATATATATTGCAAAGGAACATTTTTATGATTTGTTGAAATTCGTCCACTGTTTCTCTATAACAACAATTTTGCTCTATTTTTATTTTGTCAGGTTTTTTCCAAAAATAATTATAACAAGCAAATTTGTGGAATTTATATTGTAGGTTAACATTATTGAGGTCGGGTTTAAACATGTTAGTATCATGCTGTTGAGACATAATGTCTAGCATGAAACTTGAAGAAAAAGAAAAAAGCCCTATACCTCATTGATTATCCGTAAATATGCCCAAATCACATCGATGGGCAAACATAGCATGAGTCGGATGTGCATACGGAATTTGGTTGAAACATCTGAACAATATCTACAACTATTATTACACGAAAACCAAAGAGTGCCGGAGATGGGTGGAAAAACAGAGGAACACAAACATTGTAATCAAGTTTGAAGGAATTTGGCTAATATTTGCTAGAGTTATTAAGTGGAAACTGCAGATAATGACGTTTTTCGTTAATCAAGGGGCCATATCTCTGCCAAATGGAGTCTGATTAAAGTGGTTGTCAATCTTGGCTTAGCCCTTAATGCGTTGAACCCTGTTATGTGTGTATGCTTGCATGTGTGCTGGAGATGTATTGTGTTCTGTTTGTAGATGGGCCATGCTTCCAACCGCATCATTCATAGTGCCACCTCACTTGAATGCTACAGCACAGATACTGCAACACCCATCTCAGACCATTTTATACTCCTCCTGGATGTGGACGGAGAAAAACACTAAATATTCCATGCGGACGACGTCTTCGAGGATCAAACCCTGACCACCTGCATAGAAGTCTTCAGTGTTATAACCATATAGTGCCACACAGGTAAATCAGAACAGCCAGCTAAAATGTTGTAAAAAAGTTTATTTCTGATACAAATGAAAATCCTCTGTACATACTGCTCCACATTAACACGGTGTCCCTCTCATACGTCACAGCTATACAACAAACAGTAAGAAGATCCGAAAAATGGCCCAATACAACATAAAATATAGAGGATTTTGCACGACAGAACATTTTTGTAGCTATTCATACCCTAAGATTGGGAAATTCATTACAACAATAGTAAAATTTGGAAATGAAATATTCCAAATTTTAAGTTCTTTGAGAAGAAAACATTTTTTTCTGATATTTTTTCTTTATTTTCTTTTAAATATTTCAAAATTTGTAGACATTAAAAGTTACAGCTACCAGACATTGGAGTAATCTTTCACAACAGTTAACACTGTAATGAATAAAACTTAATATTAAATCATTCCTTACAAACTGTATCAACTGCCTGCTGTACTCCTAACAATGACGTCCTTTCTACATTGTCATATTTAATACCTTAACACTGATCTCAGTGTAACAACAGTTCAGTTAGAGATACATGGTTTAATTGACACCAGCATCAGGACCTATTTCTGTTTAAGTATATGTAATTTGAATAGTAAAATGTAGCAAAGCAAACGTTTAAACTTTAATGTAATGAACAATCAAGACATGATTTCCAATTATATTAACAGTACTTACATTATTGATACGTTTGTAGTTTGTAACATTTTTGAAGTAACTGAATTCTTGTTTAGGATGTCATATTAATGTCATCTGTTGTGTCATTGCCTAAAATAAGTTACCATTCTAAGATACCAGACGTAAAGGAAACTATCAATTTACCAGTAGTACATACACACTCAGCTAGGACCAAAGTTTAAATAAATGTTGTTTAGAAAGCAACATCCTGTGATACATGGTGATATCCAAATATAATGATGAAACACTCAGATACACAGCTCTGATGTACGTAACACACACACACACAAAGCAATAAATAACACGTCACACATCAACACTAAACAAGTGTCTGCTTCCAGATTAAAGTATTACCCCAACTTATTATGTAAACATGTACTATACCAACACTATAGATGTATACACCAAACAGTCATGTGCAGCCAAATAATTAATCCTTCATATTTTCAAAACAACAAATTCAAAAATCCCATTCTAAAACTTTGGCTCTTAATTCAGGGAACACAATGATTTTACCACAGTGACTAGACTTATACTATGTTATGATTATTTACAATATGGTAGTACTGTTATTTTATATATTTATGTACAGAATTGGAATATTGTAAAAATATAAGATTTTAAGGCTACTTTAATTATGCTCCCCCTATGTTACTGCCCTTGTTAAACCTCTCCTCTACATTACCTCCCCTTATTTATCCTCCCATCCCCCTAGATCATCACCTTTTATTTTATTGAGCTTCTCAACTTCTAGCAGTACCTCCCATCTCACTGATCTGACCCACTCTTACTGTTTGTCATCCTCCCACACATCCCTCGAACCAGTCTCACTCAAAAGATTTGGTGGACATATTATCAATACATTTAAAATGTGTGGAAAATTCAAAATACAACTCTTTGACCTAGCTGTTTCAACAAAGCACTTCTACTGGATTTTAACTGTTTTTTACCTTAAAGTTATGAAATATGGTCAAACTTAAACAGGCGCTGATGAGTTTCATTTTAGATGTATTTGAGGTGTCCAATACTTGTTACTGGCAGTCTTTTAGCTCGTTTCCTACATTGTAACAGACAGTTTGTCCACATACAGCCAACCACAACAAATGAGCAGCTTATTCCCAGGTATGTGTTTCATACTCTTTAGATAAACTTTATTTCCATCTGTTCATGTTCCCTATCATTACCTAATTATCATAATATATATTAAGCACTTGTAGACACACATTTGTAGGTATAGCACATACCTTGTGTATCAATGCACCACTCCTGTAGACACACATTTGTAGGTATAGCACATACCTGGTGTGTCAATGCACCACTCCTGACATCCAAACATGTCTTCAATGTCTTTGAATGCATTCATGTACCTAAACACGCTACTAGTATTCTACCATTACGCGGCCATCATCAATTATTATCATACTAACCTCTTTAGAAACCTCCCCTCTCATTATTCCAGTATTTCACACAGTACACCAGACATGCTCACCTACTTCCACACACACATCTAATATAACACTATTGATCTCATGATACACAGAACCATTACAAAGAGGCTGTAACATGTTGCTGTTGCCTGTTCTGGAGACATGTTCACCTTTGACCTGAGAATCCTGAACTATTTTGTATGTATAGGTCAATATACATCTACATACGGAGGGACGTGGTGCACTTACCAATAGGGTAAAGAAAACCAGTGACAATTTATCAAACATTCTAATACAGGATTTAACACTACACGACTAACGTTTCACATAAAAATCATGCTTACTTTTATAACTTAGGTCCAGGAATCATTTGTCAAATGCAAGTTACAAAATTTAATGCATAATATCACAATGATGACCCTAAAGTATGACTGACTCAAAGTTTGTGTGACGCTGTACAGATGTCAGGTATATTTTATCAAAAGTTTCAATTTTGATTTGGGTTAAAATTCCAAATTTTGATATTATTCCATTTCAGGGTTAGGTGGGTAAATTAGATAAATATGTGTATTCAGTACTTGTCATTGGTAGTTCTGATTCTAGATTTTCAGAAAATTGATATAAAGTAACACTAATTGATTGATATCTGTTAACAGAAGAACCTCATTCAACTGGACACATATCTAGACAAACAGATTCAATAAGGTTCCACTAGAGTATTGTTTATGTTGGAGTGTCCAGGAAGGTCCTTATAATGCTATATGTCACTGAGGTGATATTGCCATCACGCCTACTTTCTATCCTACCTGTCTTAACTCGCTATTTAGCAATTACTCATGAAGGGGTCAAAGTTCACATAACTGATGATCAGATCAATTGAAAATCAAAGGTGAATGCCATGATTTGTGATTGTTCAGTCCTACAGCTACAAGGTCCCACTGATAATGTTGTTAAACTCCTTCACCCCTGAAATTTCATAATTAACTATTCCAAGTTTGGAATTGGAAGAGTTCAAATGTGTATTCAGGGGTGAATGAGTTAAACTGACACTGAATAGCAGTTTTCATACATTACTGTTAGGCTGGAATTTAATTGATATAAGGTTGTTGTAAAGTGTAGGCTGTTTATATGTGTTTCCCAGCTGGGGTGACTCAACAAGACAGTAATCACTTGGTATTCTGTTAAACATTCACTGAGTAAGTGCCAAAAGACGATCGCGAGTTAAAGTGCCTAAAGAAATTGATAGAAGTCACAGTTCCTTTGGGCCTCATCACACATTTCTCCTCATAATACAGTTCTGATGTTCTCTTAACACAAGTCTCACATCCTAGTCACACAGTTCTCACGGCCTAGTCACACAGTTCTCACGGCTTAGAGGTGTGTCGTGCGTCTGTGAAGAAACTCCTCAACACAAGAACCTGTCCAATCCCAATGATCAGCACAATGAGTGACTCGCCTATCGACCAATAGAAAACTCTCTCGTTTAAGTCCTCCGCGTAGACGCGACCCTGTGCCTCCCGCAGTCTGTGATGTGTTTGGTAGTCCAGGATCACCTTCAGGTTTTCGTGCACGCTCACAGACGAGGTTTCCATCTACAATTAAATGATAAGAAATCCATGTCCCATATTGTTTTCGCTTTAGGTTTAGTATGTTGTAAAAATATGTTATGCTTGGCAAAGATATGCTCATTTTTTTATGTCTTGCAATAAAAGATAAAATAGATGTCCATTACTCCACCACAATACCAACTCTACCACATGCATTAATTACTGCTGACAAACAGGAAACAAAGGGTCATCTCCTCACACCACAATCCTATCACTACATAATTAGTACATAAACATACTTATTATATTTATGAGTTATTGTTGCCCTAAATCCTGTCTTAGTTGGTGGAAGCTGTTTACTCTTCATAGAGAAAAAAAGTTGGGGTAAATATCTTCTTTATATCACATAAATGATAGTTGTACTTTTTGCTGTTCTAATTACCAACTGAATGTTTTATATTTAAATATCTCAAACTTTGCACACAGACTTTCTTCCTTTGAAACATCTAATATCAATACAGATAATCAAAACACTGAAAAAATATGATCTTATAAAAAGACTTAACAAATGACAAGATCTATATCTTAAGTTTAAAATATTTCAAAACTTGTAATCCAAAAGCTCACTATCTATGGATAGGAGAAGTAACAAATACAGTTAAGTTTCACGGTCAGAAAACCAACAAATGTAATGATTAATGTGGACGACTGATAATGAAAGCTACAAGACATATTCAATGTTTTGGAAATGGGTCTGGAAGCTCAGCTGACTGACTTTATAACATCTGTGGAGTCAAGTATTTGTATTAGACCCCAGAGCCACTCCTGGTAGCATGATTCTGTTGGACTCTTATTATGCCAAATAAGAAGGTGTATGGTTATAGGGTGGAGACAGCAACCCTTTAAAAGTTATATCCCTTATTTCCCATGCCCCTTAGCCCCCTAAAGGTCAGCCCCTCTGCATGACTCATCACCATCTGTACTCACAATCAAATATGGTGGATACACTCATTCCAGAGAAGTAGTTGCTAAATACACTATGGCCAATTTGAATTTATACCTTTTGGCACTGTCATTTAGCTACTGGGAGATTGTACAGTTTTTAACCCCAACAACCTCTTTCCAGTTATATTTGGTTTAATTCTTTTAAACTATATTATTTTAAAGAAATTGTTCTGAGATGGATGAACGATTCCACACAATGGCATTAGCTCAACCTGGTGAAGGTGAAGGTCACAAAATAATGAAGTGAATTATGAAAGATGACATGGAAATAGATATTAAATTGACCAATGACAAAATTACCAGAAAAAATCACAACCTCTAAATTGTACATAAAAAACAAAGTGCACTTCATCAGTGATCTTGCATAATTCACTTAAACAAACGTAAAATAAGATTAACCATGGCAGGGAGCAAAGCAATTAGGTTCTACAAATACTACAGTCTAGGGACGTTACAAGGGAGACAGCATGCTGATAACAATACTACAGTCTAGGGACGTCACAAGGGAGACAGCATGCTGACACCAATACTACAGTTAAGGGACGTCACAAGGGAGACAGCATGCTGATAACAATACTACAGTCTAGGGACGTCACAAGGAAGATAGCATGCTGATACCAATACTACAGTCTAGGGACGTCACAAGGGAGACGGCACGCTGACACCAATACTACAGTCTAGGGACGTCGCAAGGGAGACAGCATGCTGATACCAATCCTACAGTCTAGGGACATCACAAGGGAGAAAGCATGCTGACACCAATACTACAGTCTAGGGCGTCACAAGGGAGACAGCATGCTGATAGCAACATTACAGTCTAGGGACGTCACAAGGGAGACCGCATGCTGATACCAATACTACAGTCTACGAACGTCACAAGGGAGACAGCATGCTGAAACCAATACTACAGTCTAGGGACGTCACAATGGAGAGGCACGCTGACACCAATACTACAGGCTAGGGACGTCACAAGGGAGAAAGCATGCTGACACCAATACTACAGTATAGGGACGTCACAAGGGAGACAGCATGATGATACCAATACTACAGTCTAGGGACGGCACAAGGGAGACAGCATGCTGATACCAACACTACAGTCTAGGGACGTCACAAGGGAGCCAGCATGCTGACACCAATACTACAGTTAAGGGAGGTCACAAGGGAGACAGCATGCTGATAACAATACCACAGTTTAGGGACGTCACAAGGAAGATAGCATGCTGATACAAATACTACAGTCTAGGGACGTCACAAGGGAGACAACATGCTGATACCAATACTACAGTCTAGGGACGGCACAAGGGAGACAGCATGCTGATACCAATATTACAGTCTAGGGACGTCACAAGGGAGAAAGCATGCTGATACCAATACTACAGTCTAAGTCTAGGGACGTCACAAGGAAGATAGCATGCTGACACCAATACTACAGTCTAGGTACGTCACAAGGAAGATAGCATGCTGATACCAATACTACAGTCTACGAACGTCACAAGGGAGACAGCATGCTGAAACCAATACTACAGTCTAGGGACGTCACAAAGGAGACAGCATGCTGATACCAATACTACACTCTAGGGACGTCACAAGGGAGACAGCAAGCTGATACCAATACTACAGTCTAGGGACGGCACAAGGGAGACAGCATGCTGATACCAATCCTACAGTCTAGGGACATCACAAGGGAGACAGCATGCTGATACCAATCCTACAGTCTAGGGACATCACAAGGGAGACAGCATGCTGATACCAATATTACAGTCTAGGGACGTCACAAGGGAGAGAGCATGCTGATACCAATACTACAGTCTACGAACGTCACAAGGGAGACAGCATGCTGAAACCAATACTACAGTCTAGGGACGTCCCAAGGGAGACAGCATGCTGATACCAATCCTACAGTCTAGGGACATCACAAGGGAGACAGCATGCTGATACCAACATTACAGTTTAGGGACGTCACAAGGGAGACAGCATGATGATAACAATACTACAGTCTAGGGACGTCCCAAGGGAGACAGCATGCTGATACCAATACTTCAGTCTAGGGACGTCACAAGGGAGACGGCACGCTGACACCAATACTACAGTCTAGGGACGTCACAAAGGAGACAGCTGATACCAATACTACAGTCTAGGGACATCACAAGGGAGAAAGCATGCTGACACCAATACTACAGTATAGGGACGTCACAAGGGAGACAGCATGATGATACAAATACTACAGTCTAGGGACGTTACAAGGGAGACAGCATGCTGATACCAATACTACAGTTTAGGGACGTTACAATGGAGACAGCATGCTGATACCAATACTACAGTCTAGGGACGTCACAGGGGAGACAGCATGCTGATACCAATATTACAGTCTAGGGACGTCACAAGGGAGACAGCATGCTGACACCAATACTACAGTCCAGTTACAAGGCAAGGGAGACAGCATGCTGATAGCAACATTACAGTCTAGGGACGTCACAAGGGAGACAGCATGCTGATACCAGTTACAAGGGAGACAGCATGCTTATACCAATACTACAGTCTAGGGACGTGACAAGGGAGACAGCATGCTGATATCAATACTACAGTCTAGGGAAGTCACAAGGGAGACAGCATGCGGATACCAATACTACAGTCTAGTGACGTCACAAGGGAGACAGCACGCTGATACCAATACTACAGACTAGGGACGTCACAAGGGACACAGCATGCTGATACCAATACGACAGTCTAGGGACCACACAAGGGAGACAGCATGCGGATACCAATACTACAGTCTAGGCACGTTACAAGGGAGACAGCATGCTGTTACCAATACTACAGTCTAGTGACGTCACAAGGGAGACAGCACGCTGATACCAATACTACAGACTAGGGACGTCACAAGGGAGTCGGCACGCTGATACCAATACTACAGACTAGGGACGTCACAAGGGACACAGCATGCTGATACCAATACTTCAGTCTAGGGACGTCACAAAGGAGACAGCATGCTGATACGAATACTACAGTCTAGGGACATGACAAGGGAGAAAGCATGCTGACACCAATACTACGGTCTAGGGACGTCACAAGGCAGACAGCATGCTGATCCCAATACTACAGTCTAGGGAAGTCACAAGGGAGACAGCATTGATACCAATACTACAGTCCAGGGACGTCACAAGGGAGACAGTATTGATACCAATACTATAGTCTTAGGACGTGTCGACAATTTATATAGAAATTGTGTTCTCAGAATGGTTCTGCAATTTAAAAGGTATGCTGACACCAATACTACAGTCTAGGTACGTCACAAGGGAGACAGCATGCTTATACCAATACTACAGTCTAGGGACGTGACAAGGGAGACAGCATGCTGTTACCAATACTACAGTCTAGGGCCGTCTCAAGGGAGACAGCATGCTGACACCAATACTACGGTCTAGGGACGTCACAAGGGCGACAGCATGCCGATACCAACACTACAGTCTAGGGACGTCTCAAGGGAGACAGCATGCTGATAGCAACATTACAGTCTAGGGCCGTCACAAGGGAGACAGCATTGATACCAATACTACAGTCCAGGGACGTCACAAGGGAGACTGCATGCTGAGAACAATACTACAGTCTAGGGACGTCACAAGGGAGACAGCATTGATACCAATACTATAGTCTTAGGACGTGTCGACAATTTATAGAGAAATTGTGTTCTCAGAATGGTTCTGCAATTTAAAAGGTTAAGGGTGTGGTGGACTTTAGGATCATGCATAGTTTACAGACATTTAGGATCATATAGAGGTATAAAGGCACCAACATCAGGCAGAATCGGCATGCAGTGATTTTATTGTTACAACAAGGTCACTAGATAGTGCCACAGCCAAGAAACCTCACCAAGCTTTTACCCAGCAAAGCAGTCAAACTGGCATATCTTTGATAAGCATAACACCGACATACACTCTGATTACAAAGAATGAAAGATTGCACAATTAATTGAAAGTGATAAGAATATTTATCCCGACAATGTATGTCTGGTACATGAGTTATCTCCCTTGGTTGATGGATTGCTATCATTTACTACCACTGGACATCTCCACAACTACATCTTCCAAGGACTTGAAAATCAACAAGTCTGAAGCCATAGGCCTAGTGTTGTAACATAGTACGATATGGTCCAGTCTCCTTCCAGTGTACTTACCAATAGTAAATGTACCAGTGTATAGTCAGGGGTGTAAAAATCTCCTAACCATGGACATCAGGACTATCAGATTGTCATTTTAGTGAAGTTTACCTCTAGGCTGGGGCTACTGACTATTTTGATGTTATAAAGTTCTGACAAAGATGGTCTTGTTCAACTTTACCATCACAACGGTACTGATAATTTTCACTGCAATATCTATCAGAACACATATGGATTCATTCACGCTGCGTTGATGATGCAAGACGTTTGTTGCTTTTCATATGTTTGTTAAATGTGCTCTAGGCACCGTTCACAACATACACTTACACAGCTATTTGTAAAGTTATATATGTTCACCTAACAGTCCAATAAAAGTTAGCTTTTGAAAACTTCTGTAATGCAGCGATATTCCATTATTGTATTGTAATGCAGCGATATTCCATTATTGTATTGTAATGCAGCGATATTCCATTGATTGATGTATACTGGATTTTTACTTTATTGCGCCAGCCCTACTTTAATTTTGTTCTACTGTCACTGTACTGTCAATGAAGCTGACATTCACAAGGAGATGTGAACAACTTACCAGTGTCATGGCAGTGTGGTGCTTGCTACCAGAGTCTGCATCAAACAAAGGCTTCTCATCCCCAATCTGGAGGTCAAAGTAGACCACTTTGTGGGAGAATGTAGAGAACTCGTTACTGAAGCAGAACTGGTAGATACCCTTCTGGTCAGGAGTCCAGGTAAAACTGTCATACTGTTTCTTCACATCTTTGTAGAGAACCTGTTTGTTAGGTGCGGTCAGTTCCATGTCCACGTCATACTGACCTCCAGTTATCACCTAAAACAAGTATACACTATAGCTAGTACTAGGCATTAATACATTATACACGTCAATCAGACACATTAACCATTAATATTACAACAGATGGAGTCAACCATTTCAATGGCCAGTTTTAGTTAAGTCATTATTTATTTGATAATGAATCAAAGAATAACAAAGTCAAGGATAAAACATTTCAATATATATATATATAGAATAAAAACATAAATTTTCAAGATCGTCCGTTAGGCCTTTCTGCCTTCTAGGGCTTCTTCAGGCGGATTGATATATATATATATATAATAAAAAAGGATTAAATGTCCACGTGAAGGAAGTAAATATAGAAAAAATAAGATTAACGACCGACCAAAAAACTAGCTGCTTTCACCCTTCATAGGGCTCTTCAGGTTTATTCAAAAGAACAACTTCGTGACGTCACAATTACATGTCATCACACTACAATAGTATCGTGATATTCAAAAGAACAACTTCGTAGATATTACTTTTAATTGTAGTGTGATGACATGTAATTGTGACGTCACAAAGTTGTTCTTTTGAATAAACCTGAAGAGCCCTATGAAGGGTGAAAGCAGCTAGTTTTTTAGTCGGTCGTTAATCTTATTTTTTCTCTCTATATATATAGGCAGTGAAATCCCCAATGCTAAGATAGTTGATGGATATTCCTTGTCAATGGCTCCCATTTCAAAATTGCTAGAATCCTCCCTGCTGATAGGTTTTGGGAACATGCATTCATGTAAATTAGTTTTTATTTTTATCACCTATTTTTGTCCACATTTCCCAGGTCTCTACTTATGTGGGTATACTCATTATTTAATGCCTTCACCAGGGATCCAACATGGAACCATCGGTTTACTAGTATGACACTGATCTACCAAGTGAGCCAAAGAGAAAATATTCCTAGCCCAGGTGGACCAAGAGACAATCATTATATAAGATATTACATGAACACTTGAGACTCCTGTCCTTGACAGGTGACAATAGCGGGGAAATATCCTTCCTATATATACATATACCATGACATCAATAGCGGGGAAATATCCTTCCTATATAAATATATATATATCATGACATCAATAGCGAGGAAATATCCTTCCTGTATATATATATATACCATGACATAAATAGCGGGGAAATATCCTTCCTATATATATATAACAAGTGACATCAATAGCGGGGAAATATCCTTCCTATATATATATATATACCATGACATCAATAGCGGGGAAACATCTTTCCTATATATATATAACAAGTGACATCAATAGCGGGGATATATATTTCCTATATATATATATGGGTCAAAGAAGTAATATAGACGGTAAAATCTCATATAACACTGGATCCTAAGGAGGTCCGAAAATTTGACAACCTAAACTTGTCCACACTGTTGGAATTACTTCTTTGCCCCACATCCTATATATATATTTAACAAGTGACATCAATAGCGGGGAAATATCCTTCCTATATATATATATATATACCATGACATCAAGAGCGGGGAAATATCCTTACTATATATATATATATATATACCATGACATCTATAGCGGGGAAATATCCTTTCTATATATATATATATATATACCATGACATCAATAGCGGGGAAATATCCTTCCTATATATATATATACACCAGAGCATTATGGGTACAGCAACATGTCGCATGTAAAACAGATCCATGAGCATGCATGCTTAACCTTTAAATCATATTTCAGCTCAAAATATCCAATATACATGTATTTACAACATCAACAAGGTGTGTGCCACCTGTCACCTTCAGCACATACACGGAGTGTAATGCACGTTATTAGGTGGTGACTCCATATAGATCCATAGCACATTGAAGTTTCTATTACATTATCCCATGGGCTAATAAAGATAACACGTGTTCAGAATTAAAACAGAAATGTGTGTATGTACACCCTAGGGAAGAAATAACACTTTGAAATGGCATCTTTTGAGCTATTCTTTCAGATGAAATCATCAGATCTTAGGGTGAAAAAATGAGACTCTTGTAAAGAATTAAACGAAAGATTTCAGGTTTGACTTATTCCATTTTTAATTTTAAGAGATGTTTAGACTTTACTGTTTTACATGTAGATGACATGATGTCCGGTGTTTTTAGCCCTGTTAAGTATATCACGTCCAGTACACTCGAGTCGATTGAGATACAGTTGCAGTTGTAAAGATCTATAGCAGCTTATATTGATCTCTGGAATACAAAATGTAGGTCTTTTGAGCTATTTTCATGAAATTGTCTTCCCAAAAAAAAATGCAGTCCGAGTCACATTTAAAAAAAGATTTATCACAATTTTGATAAGAAAAACATCAAATAAAAGCAGTCTTGTTAAAAATTGTTGGTGGAAAAAAAACACAGAAAATTTACATTTATAAGAAATAAAAATATACCTCAAATGTATGCTTTTTGTAGTCAGTGACTTTTCTGTAATTTTATTAAAACTGAAATGTTAGAAAATAAAGCTTAATACAGTTTTAGAAGGAATGCACAACCAGGCCGGGGTTCAAACCTATAGACGGACGCTCTACCAACTGAGCCACATGGCCGCTGACGATCGACCCAGTCCAGTTTCGCACAGATTTACATTATAGGTGGATAAATTTGATATTAAAAGCGGTTTTGTGTGTAGTTTTACAGCCGATTACAGGCTGCTTCACCTACCTAAAAAGTGCTTCATTTTCCTAAAACGACCAAAAAATGAGCTTTATGGTAAATAAAGGTTGTTACAGCACAGGCATTTGTTTCTGTCAATAAGGATAGTCATGAGAAAAAAAATCACACCCTACTCATGAAATATACCAAAAGGTACTAACATGAAAAATGAATGAATATCATAGAATGGAAATGATCATCCCGCAGAGAATAAAATAATAATAATAAAATTGAATGAAAAATATGGTGTTGTCTCCTTTTGTTCACATTTTATTCCCCATAAGTATTAATGTAATCGATTTTTTTACTCCTCCCTGAAACAAAGTTTTACAGCATTATTTGAGTGCATGCATGTTCGACTTTAAGAACTTTCATTTTTCCAACTTTCGGAATGCATTGAAGAGCTCATCTGGGTTCTTCACTGTATAGTGTTTATTCGCTGCGGGATGATATTTTCCATTCTTATCAGCCGATGAAAGATGTGCTAATGTTTGAAACACATCCCCTTCAAATCTACTCGAAGGAAAAAAATAAAAGCAGAATACACTATTTTTATGATGCTTTATAATATTGAAATAATTCACGAGGTTATCGATCACGTCAACATGAAAGTGAGCCAGGGAAAAACATACACACTAGCTATATAGGCATAGCGATTTGGTAAAAAAAAAAAATGAACTAACATGGAACAGAGTCTATACTTGAAACACTACATTTTCGCAATTATGAGAAAACCACTGAGATGTCGAATCATAAGTTGATCGTCGATTCTCTGGCATTGGAATTAGCTACACTTTCTTCGTTTGGTTTCTGCAGGATTCTTCCACCAAGCGAAGCAGTAAGGAGGGCTTGTTGACTCCAATCAATTAATCGTTAATTAATCAGCGTTATAAACAACAAGCTACCTTTGATGCTACTTTGACACTGTTTATTTTTAGGATTTTTTTCCCAAAAAAAACCCCATTTTATTTTCATTTTTTTTCCCTTTCAAATCTGACCCCAAAAACGTACTATACCCACAAATTTACGGTATGCATGCTTTTTTAATCGGTGATGTTTTCCGGAAGAACTTCTGGTAATTTTTGTGTCAGTTTACAGACGATGGTCAAACGTCTAAAATATCCTTGTGTTGTGTCCGTCAGGTCTCACGTAGCTACGAGATAAAAAAAAAATGGCCGCGTGGAAATACATAACGCGCGGAAACTGATGACTAGACGATATAGGTCTTTATAGCTATATAGCTCAATTGGCAGAGTGTACTGGACCTGATCATAGTAACCGTTAATGCTAGATATAGCTCAATGCAGCTTGGTGGTAAGCTATGTATAGGTCCTACCAGGTGTACATCTCAACCAGGACTGTGTTCTGGACTTGTATATTATGCAACTTATGCATGGTTAATATCGGATCGCAACAGACGTCAAATATCAGACATGCTAATTTTATAAACACCGAACTGATTATCAGATAGCAAATAGATATAAATACAATCGCATTTCTTAAAAACAAAAGATTTTCCCTCCATATGTTTACCTGGAACTCCAGTGTTGACTCGACACCTTTGTCGATATGCTCGTAAAAGCATTGTTTAGCGTTGTCTGGCAGCTCGAATGTCAACTCTCCCCCGAGAACGTACGAAATCAATCCCAATATCAGAGTAACTACACCAAACTTCGTATCCATTCTTTCGGCGTTCTAATAAACGTCAAGTCACAGAGTAGTTTCAATACTGAATCGTCGAAATATGTAAAGAACTGACTGAATTATTGACTAATTTCTCGCTGCAACATGTGTCAAACCGGTAGCGGAAAATGGTGGTGGTTGAAATTACGTGGCAATGTACAAACACTCAAGAGTTCAACCAAGGGGAGTAACTGCATGAGCATGAGCGAGAAGGCCTACTTTTAACAAGAAAATGCAGCAAAGCTGTTGGACACCAAACATTTTTTTATGAAAATGACATACTGACAGTCCAACAACCACGAGGGAACGGACTCTGCATACTTGAATTTATTTAATTATAATTATATAAATTGTTAATGGCATTAATTTTGTCGTTTAGAATATTCCGTTCACGCTACATTTTGCACTATTGTCACTCAGCAATTGTCAATTCTTTTATCAAATTTACCTTATACCCGATAAGGATAATTAAATATATACAATAAATATATATAAATAAGTCCGATCCTGCCCCGTTTCTGTCCGTTCCTGTAAATCGGCGCCCGTTTCTGTCCGTTCCAGTAAATCGTCGCCCGTTTCTGTCCGTTCCTGTAAATCGTCGCCCGTTTCTGTCCGTTCCTGTAAATCGGCGCCCGTTTCTGTCCGTTCCAGTAAATCGTCGCCCGTTTCTGTCCGTTCCTGTAAATCGTCGCCCGTTTCTGTCCGTTCCTGTAAATCGGCGCCCGTTTCTGTCCGTTCCAGTAAATCGGCGCCCGTTTCTGTCCGTTCCAGTAAATCGTCGCCCGTTCCAGCCCGATCCATATAATTCGTTGCAATCCTTTTATCAAATGTATCTTATACCCGATAATGATACTTATAGATATCTAATACATATATCTTATACCCGATAAAAAAGATATAATAATATAAATATATATATATATATATATAATTTAGTCCGATTCTGCCCCGATCATGTAATTGCAA